CTCAGGGAATCGCTCAACGTTTTTGTACACAAGGGCAAAATCGAGAAGTGGTATATGAATACATTTCCTTAAACTGACGCTATAACAACTTAAGCTTATGGCCTTCCAAATATGCACACTAAGGAAGTTCCTTTAATATTTATTGTTGAAATAACATAAGTGTAATTCATAGGATTGTAATGAATAAATAAAAAAATGTGACTTATTTTTGGAAATATTTCGTGAATAATTCACATAAATTCATTAGGTTGATGGATAAACATAGTATTAGAGAGGCAAACCTTTTGGTAAGTTTCGATGTGGTATCGATGTATACTAACATTCAATTTGAGAAAGCTATTGTCGCACTTTCACTCAGCTTGGATGAATACCAAGATATTATTGATGTAGCAAATCTGTGCAAGAACTCAATCTTAAGCATGTTATCTATCTTCAAGTTGCACATATTTCATATTTAACGATTAGTTTTATGAACAGGTGCAAGGCCTGTCAATGGGATCTTGTTTGGCTCACATTTAAGGCGAAAAATTACATTTCAATGATGGAAAAATGCTCAATGGAAGAGGTGAGACTGACACCAAAACGGTTAGTTAGATATATCGATGATTACTTTGCTATATAGAAGCATGATAAGGATAATTAAGCAAATATATTGTCCTTAATTAGTCAGATTTATCGTAATAATAAGCTAAAAATGGATATATAGGAGGATAATAATTAGCAATGTGTTTTGCTATTTTTGATCTTTTTGTATCAATGTTCTTCCAGAGACTTTGATGCTCCTTGATTCATAGGCCGATTTTTCTTCCTGTCTCACCGATATACTTCTGCTCACAGTTGCTGCATTTGATGCGGTAAACTCTCGAGCAATCAAGTTTTTCCGTATTCTCGTGTTGCATCAGCAGACTGGTGAAAAGTGTTTTTTGTACTTTGTTATCATCTTGATCTTTCATTCCATTACTAACGGCCGCAATTAATGGCTCTGTTCTAATAAGGGCAGGCAAATCCACTTCTGGTCATCTTCCTGATTTCTGATCTAATTTTCGTAAAATTCGAGTTGAAATCTGCCCTTCATAACCTCTACATTATTTTCTATAAATTCTCTGGTGTATCTGTTAGTAAGGCAAATCCGTGTCAGTTTGTCCAACTCCTTGTCCCAGAACTCAGTGACCGTTAGTCGTAAGCTTCTGATGATCAGACTCCTCACTATTCCGATCTTCAGCCTATAGTTATGATGAGACTGAAAATTAAGGATTATTCCCTCATATGAATTCTTTCTCTATAGTCTCCTTATGAGTGTCCCTTTGGAGCGCATGACTTTAACATCCAGAAAGGGTAGTCATTCATCCTCCTTCAGCTCCATCGTGAATTTAATTCTATCATCAAGTTCGTTAATGAAGTTGAGAAATTGATTTAGATTTTCCTTATCATGTGAACAAAGTGCAAAGTAGTAATCCAAGTATCGCATAAACACTCTTGGTTGCAGTGGTGACTTCTCGAATTCCCTTTCCAACTTGTCCATGTATACATTTGTCAAAAAGAGGTGAGAGTGGAGATCCTATCGGTAGTCCAAATATTTGCTCATAGATACTGCTGTTAAATGTGAAATACGTGGTCCTTACTGTCAGGTTGATCAGTCGTGTTAACGATTATTTCCGTATTCGTTCTGCCTCTAGGATGTCCTCTTCTCGCTCCAATATCTCCAGCAAGGCGCTTACCGCCTTCTCACCTGCGATGTTTGCGGTAGAGACTAGAGTTACTTGGCTAACAATAAACTTGTTTGATCATACACGTGGTCCTTGAATCACAACAATCGTTAACCAACTAGCTCTAGCTTCCACTGCTTCTATCCTCCTTCTATTTATAATACCAAGTCTATGACTTCTTATGGTCTAGTCTCTTGTGTGTCAACCCACAAACATTGCGGTTCAACATTGAACCTAATTAAAGCAAGCAATACCACAATATTTGTGGGCTAGCACACAAGAGACTAAGAAAAACAAGGCCTAGACTTGGTATAAAGAATAGAGACAGGATAGACGCGGTGGAGATTGGGTCTATTAACTGACAGTAGGTCTTACCAGGGACGTGGTCCATGTAGCAAAGGCTTAACGATAAGACTTACTCAGAGACTTGAGCCTCGAAGTAATCACCCAAGCGCAGGGGATGGCGAATAACGCCTCGAGTAGCACAGATGGGGTGACAGGGGTTGAGTGAAATATGTGAACCAGGGAGAGAGCAGACGGATCTTACGGGGCAAGAGGGAGACAAATAAGACCTATAGAAGGAGGACTGCGTAACAATATGGCAGACTCTCATCAACATTCCCAGCACAAGGGTGAAGGGCGGTGAGAAGGCCAGTGTGGAGTGCGGAGGGTTTTCATGAATGCCACTCAAATGAGCACGCCCCACTGCATCGAAATAAACACTGTACAAATTGTAACAGTGAATGCGTGATAGGAGGATATAGGAAGTGTTAATAGCTTAGGGCAGAATGGGAGATACCACAGCTGTTTAGCACACATTTGGTCAAAGGATGGGCTTCACTTGTCTCTTTGACGAGTTGTAATATTGTGTTGCTACGAATGACAAAACTCACTGACGATGCCGACTACGATGCCGGCGAAACGTCTGGGAATGTACCACGCCCACGGTTCGAGTTTGGATATGATGATGCATACAATGGAATCCGGACTAGGTGCGTTTCTCTAAGTCTTTCTACGAAAAATAGTCAAACTACTTCTATACAACGAAAGGAGACTGCGACCACACAAATGTCCGTGCATCTTGGTCTTCATACCTTCGATTAAATGAGGATGTATATAGGAATTAAATACCCACTTTTTTATATTTAATTTTTTCTCCAACCATAGTTACGAAACAAAGGTTGACGTCTTAAAACCTACAATTTTACTGAGCTTAAGACTGGCCA